AATTAACAGTGCTGTTCTTGAAGTGGCGCTGGGAAACAGTAACAAAGCCTACACAGAACACACATTATTGAGAATTGAAACACAAGCTTGAGACTATTAGGTATATACACCTTGGCCATAAATCGAAAAAAAAAATAACATTAGTCTTTTTTAATGAGACTAGCAATAAAATCATAACAGTTTGTCTAATATTAAAAATAAATATTACTCATAGATATGGATAAGAAAATATTAAAACTTTATTCCTTGTACACTTTTATTTAATCACAGCACACATTATTTGCATTTACAATATTTGCTTGACGTTCATATGCCCCAGTCTTGTTTTGTTCACCTTTTCTAGTAGCTTTTTCTGCTAAACTCTAGTCCCTGTTCTACCTCCACCTAGGTAATGAATTATTCAATCATTTAGTCAACAACGGGGTTTTACTTGTTTTACAGTAAGATACTTATCTTTAATGTTCAAGTTTTAGAATTTGAACTTGGATTAGGCCATTTTCGTCAATTTTGTTCTTAGAGCTTTTTTAAAAACACTTGGGAAGTACTCTCACAAATTTATTTCTTATTTTGCCTAGCGAAGAAATTGTGTATTAGGAAATATTCTGGTTTTTACCTTAGTGGTCAAGAAAAGCGCTTACAGTGGATACTTTTCCTAACTCGATAAACATTTATTACCTAGATGTTGGCCTCTCTTTATCACCAGCCTATAATTTCAACTCTTTTGCTGTTAACTTTAACTTCATCTGTAACTTTAACTATGATTGAGACTTCAACTTTATCTTCACATTCTTTGTCTGACTTTCAATCATACATGCATGATTATTGTGCATAGACCAATTAAATTGGACCGGCACGCTTGTGGTGCATGTTGTGTGTTACTACGGTAGGTCTTTACATAAGTAGCCATAATCTCTGCAGATGGTGAGAAGCCCAGCTCAAACCAACTACCATAATATCGTCATTGGATCTATAGGTCTCAAGTAAGATCACTTCATATTTTACATTTGTTAGAAGTGCACCTGCACACCGCTGGTTGTGGCTTCGCTGATTTACTGAATGTCTTGCATGAAGATATACACCTTTCAGTCTGAATCTACAAAAGTACCAAGACCAAGTAAGATTAATCCACATTTTGATTTCCTGAATAGTGCATCTACCTACACAGAGATTGTTTATTAGCCATTTTCCGCGAGCCTTGCATTAAGTTTCGTATCTGATTATCGAGCTTTTAGTGTATGAACATTTGTTCTTAATTTCGAGAAAGCTGTTAATTAAAGTAAGGTTAGATTACTTGACATTTGCGACCTTGTACTTTCCGATTAAAGACAGAAAGCATTGGGCTCATAGAAAAACTAAAGATTGAGCTATTTATGTGCCCTAGTGCAAACGTGTGACGATTGATCCAATAAATCGAACTCTGTTTACTTTTGTCGCTTATGTGAACCAAAAATGTATTATTTATTTTTTCTGTGAATGATTTCAACGCTTTAGGGTTAATTTTACCATTGTGTTAAAGTTTAAACTATTAATTGAAGATTAAAATTACATTTTATGTAAAAATGTCATTTTAAACTTCATTAAACCCAATGGTGGAATAGGCCCCAAGTTAGTTATATCATGGTCATTAATTAGTTGCAATTTTGCAAATAATATATTCTCCAGCGCTTAATAGCCACTTGAGTGATAATTAAATCAGTTATATTTTATTTCTTCCATTTACTTTATTCAGCACTTCTCGGCTGAAAACCGGGCATATTTAAGCTTTTAAATCCCCTTCTTTTATAACCTCGGCCTTCCACCACCTTTTAAGTCAATGTCAATAAAAAGGAAAATAATTTTTTTATAATTCAAATAATGATACTTAACCAGAAATAGTACAATAAAAACTTGTAAATCCGGTTCTGCTCTTCCGCCATTTTAGTGAGTGCAAACGCCACGCCTACCGGTCCCAATTTTGTATATCAAAAATAATGCATATGACGTATCCTTACGTTGGTACGTTGCCTTATCAATGGTTAAAGGTCTATGCCCACTACACCGGATCATACTATGACCGTGACCGTACCGGCATAGGCAGAAAAATATTCTTTGTATAGATTTAAATGAGACAATGCCCACTAGACCGGCCCGGCATCGACCACACCATCCTCATTTGAATCTATACAAAAAAAAATCAGGTCCGGGCACGGTCATAGTATGGTACGGTATAGTGGGCATAGACCTTAAAGCCAAACCGTAACCTAAAAGTTTTCAATGTTTAAACAAAATTAAAGTAAACCTTTTACCCGGTTTCTTGAATCTGCATGTAGAATTTGAGAATTAAACACATCAAAACCAGTCATTAACAATTTTCTAAAAATCCAAGCTTTCACACTAGTTGTTTTCTGTTTTGTAAGGACCAAGCATATCAAATCTGGACAATGCCTTTGAAGTTGTATGCGAAAATAGCTTGATACGAGGGGCGAATCGCTCCCGCAAAACATGTACAAAATGTCTGAATCCCATTGAAAATCGCCGTAGTCCCATCAAAATCAGCGGCAATCGTCGCAGTCGTTCAGAATTCCCTCGCAGTCTCCCCGAAATCTCCCGCAGTCGCTGAGCAAGCACTAACAATCATTAAAAATCGCGCGCATACAGTTGAAATTTCACCCATTCGCCATTGTGCTTTGATTAGGCCAACTAAGCCATCTTGTGTAAAATTAAACAAATTGCATTTACGTTTATCGAAAGTGTCGTTCCATCAATTATTATTAATTTTAAAATGCCATTTTTGCAAAGTTCATCAAATTTCTGATCTGATAGAAGAAACTTCCAAGGTGGTCCAGAATTATCTCTGAATTTTGAATGCATAATAAAATTGTTTGTATTTTATTATAGGGGGTCATATACGTTTTAATTAGGGTTTTAAATGTATTTTATTTAAAAAGGAATTAATTTATTGACAGAATACATTTTTTACTTTCCTGTCTATATACAGATAAGGAAAGTATAGGAATCATGATTTTTTTAACGGATTTTTACGTTTTCGGGTTTCCTAAATTTGTTTTTACTATTTTCGCGATGATGTGTGTCTGTATACTCAATAACTCAATAAAGAGGAAAACACTAAATTTTAAACTTAAGCTTTGATTAATCCTCTAATAATGAGTGAATTACATTTTAGGCATAGTCAGAACGTCTGGGGAGGGTACTTTATAGGGTTCGTTTTTCTACTACGAATATAAGTTATTTACGCTTGGAGAAGAAAATTATTTAAATTAAAGCTGCTTGTGTTGCTCTATAATTTTTATCCTATAGGTAAATAATTTTCCTAAAATTGTTCGTATTCAAAAAATTTTAGAAAAAAGTGCATATTTAGAATTTTTAAGAAAAGTTCAAATTTCGAATATGGTGAAAACTCAAAAACGGTTAAAGAGAAAAACAAAATTTTAAACTTAAGCTTTCATCCATTCTCTAATGAGCTGATTAGATTTTGGGCATACTCAGAGCACTTTGTAAATGGTCGTTTTTCTGCTTAATAGAATTATTTAGTATAGATCCAAGTAGCTTTTGCCCAATGAGTTTCTTAGAGAGGTCCAAAGTTGAGGACTGTACTAAATTAAGTTCATTAGATATTAAGGTTTGCTTTGTTTTTAATTTCTTATTGTTACTTGTTACTTAACTCTACATTACTAATAATTTTTTATAGGGTTTGTAAAGTATCCAATAAATAAATATATGTTATTTATACTTGAAGAAGAAAATTCTTCAATTAAAAGTTGATTGCAATATTTTTCTCTATAATTTTTATCTTATACATAATTTTCCAAAAATGGTCAATATTCGAGAAATTTTACAAAAAGTACAAAATTCAAATTTTTAAGAAAAATGTTCAAATAAAAGTTGCTTGTGATTCTCTATAATTTTTGTCTCACACGATTTTCCTAAAATGGATCGTATTCGATTTATTTGAGGAAAATTGCAAATTTTGAATTTGGAAATTACTCAAAAACGGATAAAGAGAAAAACACAAAATTTTAAATTTATGCCTTAATAAATCCTGCAGTGAGCTGATTAAATTTTGGCATAGTCGAAGCTCTGGGGGGAGGGGGTACTTTTTAGGGTGTCATTTTTTACTTTAATACTATCTCTGTTATTTATGATTGGTGAAAAAAATTCTTCACATAAAAGTTGTTTGCGATATCATTCTCTTAAATGTTTGTTTTATACATGATATATCTTTAAAATGGACCGTAATACAAATTTAGAAACCCGATTACAAGAAACTTGATTATGTAAAACAACAGAGTTTTTGTTAATAAATTAAGAAGTGGTTGGAAAAGGGGAACATTCTCTTTTGTAACAAAGTTGATATGACATAAATTTGAAAATTTTACAAAAAGGGCAAAATTTTAATTTTTCAGTATTTTGGTTGGCAATAAATACATGTAAAAAATATTTGGAGTAAGATGTGTATAGAAAATCTCTAAACATTTACAGGGGTGATACATAGGGTTGCCACATTACCGAAAGTGAAAAGCGTGGCAACCGTGACGATAGAGCATTTTTATATAATCAGGTCCATTTTTTGTGAACATTTCCAAAAAAAAGGCCTCAGCTAATTTTTCATAAAAACGAGGGTCTTTTACCCAGATATTTCTATATTCTTGTATAAATCCGGTTCCCCTGCGGCTTTTAAAAAGCGTGGAATTTGCATAAAAAGCGTACAGGCAAGTCAAAAAGCGTGGTAATCACGCCGAAAGCGTGACGTCTGGCAACCCTAGTGATATAGTAGGTTGTACAAATTAACCGGAAAAAGCTTGTAATACTAGACAAAAAAAGTCATGTGTTGGACACATTAGATTTTTATGTAAAAAAGCGGAAACAATTATTTTTTGCAAAAATAGTACACAAAAACTATAGTGAATAAAACACACCCTGATTCATCCCTTTAGCTTTAGAATAATAGTTGACAGGTGCAGTGTTATGAGTTTATTTAATTTAAGTAGATATGTTTAAATAAAAAGTTTATAGAGAGTGATCCACAATAGTAATTTGTGCAACAAAAGTGGATATGATGGCCATATGTAATACGTATAATCCACTCAAGTTGTACAGTATATTTTTTTACGACCCACTAACAAAAATTTAAAAATTTATTTAGAAATAATTAAAATAAAATGACTATTTTAAAAATATTTGATGACTTTTATTAATTTATTAAATAAAATAAACTTTAAAAAACAAAAACAAAACAAAAATTTTAATTTACGATATAAGTATTTGTAAATATACTCGAATATCTGGTGACAAGCTTTTATTTACCGATTCTTCACAAGCATCATTCATTTTTAATTACATTTAATCTTAATAACTAAAAAATATATTGACAATTAGTTTGACAGAATTGTGACTTATTTAACATTAAAAAATAAAGTTAATTCAATAAAACAAATTTCACGTTGTTTTCACATCTTATACAAACTTTAGTTTTTTTTTTTTTGTATGAGCCATACATGTCCTATATAAAATTTAGTTCTCCTGATATAACGCGCAGCTAATGTTTTTTACTGGAAACCAACTAGAAAGACATACATTGTCGTAAAAATACTTTGGAAATGCCGGCAATTTTGAATAAATAGTGGCAATCCATACGGAAATCGCCGCAATCAATACGGAAATCGCCGCAATCAATACGGAAATCGCCGCAGTCAATGCATAAATCAGCGCAGTCACGAAAAATCTATCGAAGTCATGTGGAAATCACCACAGTAACTAGAAATCCGTAGGAAGTCACATGGAAATCACCGCAGTCATCCAGAAATCGCCATATGATTGCGGAAATCATGTGAATTCGGCAATACATGTACATTTTGACAAATTCGCCCCTCAGCTTGATAGCATATTTGACTTTTAGCCTTTAGGCACCTAAAACACAATGTTGTATATTGTTAAATGTTTAGTAAGGTATCAATTATGTTAATTTTTTACTCAACCTCTTACAGTTGTTTTAATTCTGCATTAAGCTTAAGGGCAATAATTAAATCCAAATGTTTGGTGTAGCAATAAATCCACAATTGGCTTAGAATTAATTATTTTTCTATTTAAAAAGTTCAAGAAAATTATTTCGCAAAGGCTTGATCATATGCGTTGTATCTGCAAATATATGAACTGCTTTGTGGCATACTGGATTCTCAAAACTAGTGTTTTCTTCAGAAATATTCCAGTCATCTGTTACTTCCACCCAAATCACAGTTAAGAGGTCAAGGTAGCAAATATTGTTCAATTTAGTTTATTAAATATGAGGTTTTTTGTTATTTTACAATCATAATCAAAGAAAATTGTTTTCTTCCAATTTCATCAAACAGTAGGATACATGACCTCTCCATTTTTGTTAAAGAAATGTTTTTCATTGGATTTAATTATACATATGTTTAGAATACCTAAAAATTACAAACAACTTTTATTTAAAACACAATTACTGAAGCATGATATTTTATTAAACATATTGGTTAAAACACATGCAAAAATCGTGTTCGCTGTTGTGATAAATCAATGCATGTAAAAAAAATATTTTTTATTTAAGGTTCAAAATGTAAAAAAAATATTACTGACATTCCCTTATAAAATTTAAGAATACAATGCAATAATAAAATCTCCATTAAAATAACTAACCTGGTTGTATATTCATTTTATTTGTCCACCTTCTTAAAGTTGAAACTGCAGGTAGGGGATAGCCCCTTTTTTTAGTAAGCAATATGATCTTGGTCCCCAGCATATAAAGGCATCACTGAAGTGATATTGTCCATAGTCTAATGAATTTGCGTGTCAGATTTTAGCTTTCGGAGCTGCCCTTCAGTAAATATTTGTTCAGCCAATTTTTTTCTTGTGTTTTCTTTTGTAGAAGTTGTTTCAAGTATAAATTTTCCTTTTGAAGATCTCTTACTTTCTTCAAAAGTTCAGATTCTTCTTGTAACCTAAAAGGTTATTAAATTCATTTGTGTTATTTAAACATTACACAAGTACAATGAAAAAAAGATATAAATTAAAAATGAATTTAATTATTAATTAAATTTTGCTACTTTTGTTAGCAATTAAGAAATTATACAACCAGTACCTTACAGTTTGGGAGCCAGTATCTCTATTATTGCTGGTCACTGTAGGTTCTAGCTCTATTGTATTCATTGTATCCACTACTGGTACTTCACCTACACCATTATTATTTAATGTTGGATCCTCATTTTCTTGACTACAAATTGATTTTTTCTAAGTTCAATGAAATAATTATGGTCACACTCAAAGGGCACATAATATAGCCACAAAAGTTCATGCATAAATGAAACAACAAAAAACACCGAATATAATGAATTACCCTCGGAATTACCTACTTATACTTACGTGTTTTGTAAATTTTTAAGCAAATTCCTTTTTTTTATTCTTTCATTACGGTTTTTTTGATTAGATGTCTTGGGCTTTGGAGATTTTGGCAGATTAAGTAAAGGTACAGCATCTTCTTTCAGTTTCCACTTATTCTTGGGCAATTTCAATATTTTTTCTTTAATGCAAAAATCTTCATCTGAAAAATGCTTCCAACATATTCTCGCGTTTTTAACATTAAAATTATGTTTTTGATAGCATTTTTGCACCCACATTTTTCGAGTCTCCTTAGCAGTTGGAAAAGTAAAGTATCGGCAGTTAGGCGAATAATTTTTTGCCTTTTTATTATTGTTACTGGTACAACCAGTCACTGCACAGCAAACCATTATTTTTTAACCGACTTCAAAAAAGGAGGAGGTTATCAATTCGTCGCGATATTTTTTTAAAGTAATAAAAAACTAAAACACAATCGTAAATAAACAAAACAACTGAAATAACGTATTCGCACCAAATTAAAACACATTTAATTAAACTAAGAAACGCGAACTAAAATGCATGTTTTCCATTAAAACATGCCAAAAATTTGTCACATCACATTGTCTTGTCACGCGTTGACGTCAGCGTCATGTCATCAGCTGAGGATACAGTGTTGCCAGAGCACTCTGAAGGAATGTAATAGATGAACTCTCAAAATTGTAATAAATTTCAAGAAAATGTAATAGAAGTTATAGTCAATGTAAAACGAGCTATATATGCTGCGTTTGAGAATCCACATCGGATGCATCTGAGATGTAAAAAATCTTTGATCACGTGGTTCAGTATACGTAAATGTAATGGGACAGATGTGTCCGATGTGGATAAAAAAACGCTCGAGATGTAAAAAATGCATCCGATGTGGATTCTCAAACGCAGCAATAGAGAAAGTAAAAGTCAGGGCTGGTAATACCAGCCCTGGTAAAAGTTGAAAAGTCTTTTGGTAGGTAGAGAGGGGGTAAACGTCAAACCACGTCGGGCGGCTCCGAGAATTTCACAGTAATGTTTACCTGCCAGTGTCGTTTCATAGAATAAGTAATTTTAAATTGTTATCGGCGGAACCGGACAATCGCATGTACTTATGGATTATAAATAATTATTAAACATGTATTATAATATTATCAAATTATAATTTTACAAAATTTCAACAGCTATTCACAATTTATTAAACTATTTACTCGAAATTGTTATTAAAATCTATAAAATAATTTTGTACGCCAATGTATCGCGTCCAGTTCGGTGAGATCCGGTGCCAACCTGTCAATTTATGTGCATAAAGTGGGAGAACTGGCAAAAGCATTTCCAACTTTTACTTCTGTTCTACATAAAAATGGCTATATCAAGCTAGCGGGCACTCTGTGGCGGCACCACACAAGACCTGGTTAGTTTTTTGTAGCGTTTTTGTAACTTTTTTGTTACGCTAGTCTCACTTTTGTAGCTTGTACTGAACCTGAGAAAAGCGCGGATCCGCTAGCTTAGCGGATATTTGTAGCGGCACCAGCTCGGACCCGGCTTGTCTGAGATGGAACACCCTGTATATAGTGAGAATAGGTAATTGCTTGGTAGCTATTACCCCGGTGTGAAGTTAGCAGTAAATTTTAGCAGTAAAAATAACCGAAAACACCCGATCGGGAAGATAGTGGCGTCCGGCATACAACATACAACTTATTTTAATAATCTTGTCAGTATGTATTTTACATTAATATCGGACAAATAATTAATATACATACCGTTGAAAATGTCCGATTTTGAGATTATATCTAAATTTCTCAAAAATATATTGGATGGAAGATGGCCATAATTCGTGAAATGCAATACTGGTGCCATCTAGTAACAGATAGTCACACTATCGAGTTGCACATATTACTTGTAGTGGCCGAAACTTGATTTTAAATTAACGCACTTTTCTCTCACGCTCATGGAGAAACGATTATTACTCACGTTCAGGCCTCGCAACGAAATCGAGACAGGCGTAACAAAAAAGCTACAAAAAAGTTACAAAAAATGAGCCGGGTCCGAGCTGGTGCCGCTACAAATATCCGCTAAGCTAGCGGATCCGCGCTTTTCTCAGGTTCAGACACGCTACAAAAAGGAGACTAGCGTAACAAAAAAACTACAAAAAAGTTACGAAAAACCAGCTGGTTCTGAGTCTGTGCCGCTACTATGGAAATTCAAGCTAGCGGATCCGAGAATACTACCCCAGGGGTAGTATTCTCGAGTCACGAATATAGATTCGCGCATGCGAGATTTATGATTTGTCTCACTTGGTTTTCGTTCAACAAAGTGAGACACATCGTAAAGCACGTATGCGAATGTCGGTATTCGTGATTCGAGAATACTACCCCTGGGCAAAGCTACAAATTCGCAAATAGCGTGTAACAAAAAAGCTACACAAAAAACCAACCAGGGGTAGTATTCTCGAGTCACGAATATAGATTCGCATGCGAGATTTATGATTTGTCTCACTTGGTTTTCGTTCAACAAAGTGAGACACATTGTAAAACACGTATGCGAATATCGGTATTCGTGATTCGAGAATACTACCCCTGGTCTTGTATGGTGCCGCCACAGAGTGCCCGCGGATGAGTAATTGGAACTCAGGGGTAGTATTCTCGAATCACGAATACCGACATTCGCATACGTGATTTACAATGTGTCTCACTTTGTTGAACGAAAACCAAGTGAGACAAATCATAAATCTCGCATGCGAATCTATATTCGTGACTCGAGAATACCTGTGGAGAATACTACCCCTGGGTAGGAAATAGGAAACATAATAATAAATTTAGATGATTTTAAGTGGAAGTATAATTTGCGCATGAGTAATCAAAATAACAGGAAAGGTTTGTTTATTCAATTGTATCTATCTCCGAGCAATAATTGCTCGGAGGTATCTATTACTCCAATTTCTAGATATTTGAAGCATTTTCAGTAATGACGAGTAACATAAATAAAATAATACACATTTTCTACAAAATTTGTGTACATTATTTTTATTTGAAATTTTTGAGTTTTTCTTGTTATTTATGTTGATTTTTAGTATTTTTACTCATATTTCCTTTCGGTGTAATAATTGATACTGCAGGTTTTTCACATTAAATGATATTCTAAAAGTAGGTTTTAGCTGCATGAAACAGTAATATTATGTTTTCTAATAAATATCCTGACTAGTATCTATACATGGTGTCCCGGACTAATTAATCTACGCTATACCCTATAAACCAATAGATGTTAGAATTAAAATTGGGTTAGTGGGATTTTTAGCAACATTAAAGCACATACTGGTCACCGAACTAGAACAGAAGTAAAAGTTGGAAAGGCTTTTGCCAGTTCTCCCACTTTATACACATAAATTGACAGGTTTGCCAGGGATCTCACCGAAGTGGACGCGATACATTGGCGTACACAATTATTTTATAGATGTTAATAAGAATTTCGAGTAGTTTCATAAATTGTAAATAGCTGTTGAAATTTTGTAAAATTATGATTGGAATATTATAATACATGTTTAATAATTATTTATAGTCCATAAATATATGCGATTGTCCAGTTCCGCCGATAACAATTTAAAATTACTTATTCTATGAAACGACACTGGCAGGTAAACATTACTGCAAAATTCTCGAAGCCGTCCGACGTGGTTTGACGTTTACCCCCTCTCTACCTACCAAAAGCCTTTCCAACTTTTACTTTCTCTATACTACAAGGTCGGTGGTATAGATAAAATAAGTACTTATTATTTGATGAATCCTACTGACAACTGTAGTAGAAACATTTTTTTTATCTTTTAAATTTTACCAAAATTAGGTACTATAATACAATTATTTAAGTCCGGCCCAAGAAATCTACTCCTCTCCGGGTTTCTCAGTGCTGACAGCCTTTGTAATGGAAAATGCTTCTGTTACCTCTAAACTTTCTAACTTTGGTTATTGCCTAGATTGTTCTTTGATATGCAAACTGATTTAAAGGAGTAAAAAATAAAAACAAGAAATTACTATAACACTTTATTTTCCAATTAAACCAAATACAAAATTAGTCAACTTGTCAATGTCTCAACTATAAATTCTTCTTAAAAAATTATAAGAAGGAACCACGTCTAATTATATTCTTTTACAAAAAAGAAAATGCTGAAAGATTTTACATTTTTGTATCAAAAGATTTATTATAACATTAAATTAAAACAGAAAAGCATCACACATTGTCATAAGCAAAAGTAGTTATTTAAACTAAAAAAATATTTTAAGTACTTTGCAATTTTTATCATCTATTTAGGTAACTCAATACATTCCAATCATTTTTAATCAAAAAATTCAACAACTTCCTGCAATTCTCTCTCTCTAGCCTGCTCGTGAGCCCATCGTTCTTCTGCTAATTTATCAGATAAAGACCATTTGAAATGATAAATTTTCTTGTTACAAATGGGACAGTTCTTGTTTCCAAATGGTGGTAATTTCATGTAATTGAAAAAACATTCTTGATGGAATAGATGGCCACAGTATACTCTTTCAATGTGCTTGGGAGAGTTTTCATCTTTTTCAAGTAACTAATGAATAAATTAACTATTTATATTATTCACATATTGATTCATTTTTTTTTCACAAGCACTTATCAAAAAAGATGTAGAAAAATTATGAAAAATAGAAGAAAAGTTTTATGTATTAATAATAATATTAGTGAGTATAGTATAAAGTGAGTATATTTTTACTTTTTTACAGAATGGGTATAGGATAATTTTGATATTAATGATAGTGATACACAATTTAAAATTTCATAGTAGCAATATTATTAATTATAGTATTTTAGACTTAGTTTCAATAATTATTATAAAATAAAGAGGAAAAATACTTCTTTCAATTAAATCTGTTCAATACAAATAGTGGTAGAATAAGTGAGATACTGAATTTGCATCTAGATTCAGAGAACAAGAAAATTATGACAGCATTTAATCTGCAGAAGTGGGATTGCCAGATATATTAAGAATTAAAAAACTAAAAACACCAAATTTTCAGATATGAGCTTGTAAGATATCAGTTTTTATACAGACATACATACCTCAGGATCAATAGGAAAACAAATTGTATTACAAAACTGGCAATTTTCACTTGGAAGTCTTTTGACACAATCAATAAGAAACTCTACCGGCTTCTGTAAAGATGGACTGGGTTTAAATTCAGGTTCTTTGGGTTTTCTCTTTAAGGGGGGTTCAACACATTTTCTAGCTATTTCTTTAGCCTGTGAAATCATATGTTTCTCCAGAGCAGGTGAAAAATTTGTGTCAGCATATTCAATGCTAAAAAAAAAATTAAAATTATTAAGCATTTGAATATCTACAATAGAAGTGTGAATCAAAAATAATAGGGCACAACTTAAGTTCACAAGTAGAAAACACATTGTAAGTGCATAATTATTTGCAGCTCATCTAGCTCTAAATACAGTTTTAATAATATTTAAAGGACTACGTAATAGAGCCCTTATTTAAATAAAAGAAAAAATACTTACTCAATGGCACTTAAGGGATAATCATCAGGAACGATAATTTTGCAATTTATATAGTATTTAGACTTATTTACTTTCAAAATTATACTAGAACTTTTTTGTTTCAACTTAAATTCATCTCCAGGGCCAATAAGTGCTCGCAGTTTATTTATTTCATCATAACAACAGAACAATGGATTTTCATCGATAAAATTACGAATAAATTTTACGGTATTAAGCACTTGAGGTTTTCCCAAGTATTTTTTAATGTCCTCTTCACAAACATTTGTTAGTTTTAGTAACAATTTTTCAGACAAAGTTTTGCTTTTTAGCTCCAATAATAAAGCAGTTCTAGGGTAGTCTTCTCTGAACTGTATGCACACTACAATTTTTTTAAAATCAGTTCTTTTTATTTCAACTCTAACCATTGTCCGGACACATGATATGAGTTTTGTCCCTGGCACGACATGTTCACAAAGTTTTCTAACTTCTGCAAGTTCATCATCGATTAATCCCATGAAGCGCGATACAATGTTTTTGTAGAAATATCCCACCGAAAAAATTTGTCAAGCTACTTTTGATTTTTCTTTGTCAGATTTTCGGATTATGAATTTATTTTAAATGGATATAAACTAAAAATTATAAAAACAAAATTGACATTTGATGATTTGGTGCCTTTTAAGTTTTCGTTTTTATTTTCTGACAAGCATGCAAGTTGCAAGCACTATATATTTTGACTATTTACATAATTTGATGAAGACCCGGTTTTTAATTTAGATAAAACGAAGAAGAATGAAACATGACGTCAGTGAAAATTCGATCCTAACCTCTCTTGTTTAGAAAGAAATTAAAATGTTCAAAAAGTACGTATGTAATTTTCTCTTATAAAAATAATAAAAAAATTCATATTTTTTAGATTCGATGAAAAAGATAGCATTTCTGGTGTTCTACAGCTCAAATCTTCAGTACAAAAAGCTATAAGGACGAAACTGATCGAGTGCTACCCATATTTAGAAAATTATATTGATGTTGTTTTACCAAAAAAGGACTCACTTAGAATAATAAAATGGTTAGTTTATCACATGCATTTTTACATTAAAAAGTATTTTTACAAAAATTACTGTTGCTAATTTCTTTTTAGTCATGATCACATAGAAATAATAGTTAATTCAAATGGTGACTTATTATTTTTTCGTCAAAGAGAAAGCCAATGGATGCCAACTTTAAAACTATTCCATAAATGTAAGTCCTACATTTTTTAACAACTCGCCAACTATATGTAATATAATTCTCTTTAGATCCTTTCTTTTTACCTATTCAACAAGTAGACAAAGGTGCCATCAGATTTGTTCTTAGTGGAGCAAATATAATGTGCCCTGGTTTAACTTCTCCTGGGGCCAAAATGACTGATGTGCCTAAAGATGCAGTAGTGGTATGTTTTGAGTATCATAGTATGTAAAGAAACCAACTGCTTCTTTTACAGTTGATAGAACAATTTTGTACTTTTTAAACTTTAATATAAATCATTTTTATTAGTTCTTAAAAACATTTTTAGGCTATTATGGCTGAAGGCAAAGACCACGCCTTAGCAATTGGAAAAACCTCTTTATCTACAGATGATATGTAAGTGATGTTATTTTCTTTTTATATATTTCTAATAATATTTATAATATTGTATTTCAGAACCAAAATTAATAAGGGTGTAGGTGTTGAAAACTGCCATTACCTAAATGATGGACTATGGCAAATGAAACCAGTTAAATAATTATTTATTTTTTTGAAATATTGCTTATTTTTAATAAAACTTTGTATCATATTTAATGTTTTATTTGATCGATATAGTATTAACACTTTTAAGAATAAAAATGTTTTAAAATTAAATTAGAATTGGTCAGACAGAGGTGTAAGTGCTGGTATGATTAAAATTTTTTGACCTTCAATAATTAATATTTGTAAAAAGAAAGAAAAATATCTACAATTTTATAACTTTTAATGAAAAAAAAAAAAAAAATACCATTCTACATTAAAATATCAACTAAAGAGTAAATTACAAATTTATAAAAGTGAATAACTGTGCAAAACAAGCAATAGATCAGGAGTATAAAGTAAACAAATTTCTATCTCCAGCTGGTTTATTGCTTGAACTTGTCAAACTTATTTTTCTGCTTTAGTCTCAGATCTATTGAAAGCCAACTTTACATTTAATTTTCAAAGATGGCAACTTTCCATTTCTGATATTTTATGGTTTTTCCTTTGCTATTCAATGCCTCGTTTTTGTTTCAAAGTTTACAGTGGGGTTGAGATTTTTTTCGGCACGAATGAAGTACTAGGGCCCCATAGGTGGTGGGCCTTAGTAACAGAAAAATAAAATAATATATATATGTAAAAGCGAAATACCATTCACTGACTCATTATGAGATCTCCAAAACTATAAGCCTGATTGACTTGAAATCTAACATAGTTACTCCTTTCTCGACATGACACCCACTAAGAATGTATTTTATACACATCAAATTTTAAGGGGGTGAAAGTTTGTATGGCATATCGAATTTTTTTATGGTAGGAATTTGAAAATAGGAATTGTAGCTACTCATCATAAATAAGTAATGACGTATTTCAGGATTTTTACATTTTAAAAGGGGGAAACGAGGGGGGAAGTGAAAGTTAGTAGGTATGGGATTATCCATTTTTTTTTTAAAGATAACTTAGGCATTGTAACGACCTTCAAACCAAAGATGCCAGTGGGAAGTTCTCATATATCTAAGGGGGTAGCAACATAGTCTTGCATCTTGGACACTATTTTTATTCGAAATAGTAGTCGCCAAGCCTGCCAATTTATGAAGAAATGTATAAGTGGGTTTTTTAAATATTTTTTTTTCTGTTTCACATAAAATATCTAAGTAATCCCTTATTCATGATTTTACGTACAGTAGATAGAATACATTGTATGTCGCAACCCTTAGATATACCAAACCTTCCCACTGGCAATGCATTTATTTGGAATGCCTAATTGGAGTTGCAGCTACTCATCAGGTCATTTCCTTTGCATCGAAAGTGTTGCACTGAGCTACACCACTTCTGAAAATATCGTTCCATTTATACAAATTGTATGGATAGAACGATATTTTCAGAAGTGACGTATCTCAGTGCTACACTTTCGATGCAAAGGAAAAGACCTAATATAAATAAATAAATAAAATTTCAGGATTTTGGATTGTCACATTTTAAAAGGGGGGAGTGATGAAATAAAAATAAAGTGAATAAAAACAAATACAAATGAATAATGAAAATACTTAGAAACTAATAAGTAAAACTTCTTATGCCCTGGTATAAAAAAATATGAGGACTGAATTGATAAAAACGACATCAAAGACAGTTTTATGTGATGTTAGAGCCAGTTCCTCATGCAATCTGGTGATATTAGCAGATGACAGCCGTACTAGAAATGTAGTATAAAAAAAGATACTCAATTAGATTATAGTGGAGCGCCTGGGGGTTTTGGCCTCGGACTTTTGCTGCAGTGAATAAATTTATATGGTTGAAGTGGAATTTTCTTTTTTATAGATTAAATTGCAAAGTTTACCAAATATTTTTTGTGCTTTGATTATTTAAACAAAAAAATAATATTTGAGTAAGAAGTGTACTAGTAGACGACATTATTAGGATGTAATTTTACTAAAATAATTACAAAATTAACCCATATAAAATCGCCATTTTTTACTTCGTTAATGTGCTTTAGAGGCTTCACTTTTTCTAAATCTTGGTCTCCTTTTCTTTATCTTCTTCAAAATTCCAGGTTGAATTATCCGATTCTGCATATTTCACATCTTCGTCATCTTCACTGGACTCATCTAATTCTAGTTTCTTCAAATTTTTATTTTCTTGTAATTTATTTTTACTTTCTTTTTTTCTTCCTTTTGAATTTTTCTGTTGGGATTCTCTTTCCTTCCGTTCCTTTTCTAGAATCTTTTTCTGTTGTATTCCTGTCATATGGTTCTGAAGGTATAACTGAAAGTATTTTTTCCTCTTTTTAACAACTTTAGTTTTTTCCTCAGGCCAAAACAAAGCTCTTCTAAATGGCGATGGTATTATTGGCTTCTCTTTGAAGTTTTGCTAGCTGAGATATTATGTTAATACTAAGAGGAGTTTGTATTTGGTTCTCTAGAACTTCTTCTTGTGGTGTTGAATGAACTAAAATGTCAGCTATTATATTGGCAGATGCTTCGTAAGTTATGAAGTTAGAATTTACAGGATGTTGCTTATCTGGAGTTACTAATATGTTTGAAATATTAGAAACATCAGTCCTCTGGTCATTAATATTTCACTGTCATCTCTTTTTTTATTTTTCATATTCTTCCTTGTCGCTATTACCTTGAGTTGTAGATTTACACTTCAAATATATTTTTTGCCAAAATACAAATAATACTTTATACTCTATCTCCTGTCCATGTTCTGTCTTTGGGTTTTTTAAATTCATCCCATAGTAACAATCAGTCAATTACCAGCTCCTGATAACCTATTGTAAATGTTATTTTGTAATTGTAAAATAGGGATGTGAAGCTTCCTGTAAATGTTGGAAAGGTGGCTTATACTGTAGTGTAGCTTGTTCACAGTGCAACGAAAATAGGTCAATACTCCACCTATTACTCAAATAAATGAAGTCGAAGAAAATATTTAATATGTATAAAAATGTAAATTGTTTAAATAAAAAACATTTTATTAGTAATTTTGTTTTATTTAATTTTCCTTCATTTACTTCTTTTTCCCGATTACTATCTGAATATACTATTTTAATTATTGCAATTATCATATATTTTTTTTTTTTAATTAAGATCTTAATTTTTAATTTGGTAAACTTTTTTTCATATATATTAGTAGCAAAATATTCCGTTTTGAATTTTTAAATTTCATTCCCTGCAGCTCGAGGTTTTCATGTTTTTAAGGCCCCAGGAGATCAACTAATAAAATACTTAAATATTTGATTACTCTACTTACCTCTAATCTATAATAGTATCACATACATACCATGAACCCTAAAAAACATATTATCCCTCATGCAAGTCATGCATTTTAAAAACATATGACTACGCGTGCGAAGCCGCGAGCAACGGCTAGTATTATATAAAGGGAGTTGAATAAAACACATTGTGAAAAACAAATGAAGGACTTAATAGAAAAACATGAAAAGCAAGACTCTCAAAAATGATACATAATATGTGATATTGGTGTTGTTGAAGACTATAATTTGACAGCTGAAACTGATTTTTCAATAAAATATATATAGTAGTGCGTTTTTTAACTTTAAAACAACTCAAATAAACAAAACATCAATGTGATATCTAAGAGCACTTGCCCCAATCTATAAAAATTCCTTGAAAATTCATTACTGCAAGGGGAAATTACCGGAAATAAGTGCTGCCAGCCAGTTTAAAAATCCTTAAAGTATACATTCCTGGCATTTAACACGTTTTGTGTTAAAATATGTAAACTAATCTCTAGAAGAATGAATTATGAATGAAGTGTTTAATTTAATTATTAAATAGAATATTTTACATTTTTCTTAGTATGTTGGCAAAAACCTATTCCGTAACTAAGTTGGTGTACCTGTTTATTGACTAAAGTTGGTGAACTTTTTGCATTTTTCTTACAGCAAGGAAAATTATGAACTGCCAAGTGGCTCTAAAACAACCTATTTCTGGCTACCGCTCTTGGAGCCGTTGCAAGCACCGAATTCAAGGCACAGCACCTCGACCACATTTACTCCCTGGTGCACTACTTCTAACTGAGCGGGGTGTCTAAAAATGTTGCTCATCACTAATGTCATCCGTTATATTGCGTATTGCTGCAATTGCACCAGCTTGTGACGTAACTGCTTGTACTCTGAAGGTTGTTGGGAGAGAGTTCCAGCCCTTACTCTGCGTATGTTTGAGTTTATAGGTGAATGTCATAGGGAATTAGGTGTAAATAGAATGCACTGTAGATAAAATACAACACTTTCAAATATCATTAATTGTTCCATATATTAATACTTTCATTTTAACATTTTATTTCCACAGTTCAATAGGCAACTGATCAAAGTACTGCCCATCATTGAATAATGAATAAAGTTTTTTTTGTGAAGTCATCTATGTTCTTCCATACAAAGTGGGTGGCTGAACCATTTAAGAATCCTTTTCTACCTGTAAGTCACAATAAATATTATAAAGTGTGTTTGCCCAAGTAAAATGTTTTAAATTTTCTAAGTATGTATACAAGTTAGTTATAAAACTGTTTGTAAGCATATAGGGTCCGATTACAATTAGAAGAATACCGCTACGTCATAACCATTACTTTGAATCTCAAATACATATCTATAACTATTAATAAATAAAAAATAAGTAAGTTATTAGGTATAAAACAATATTTCCCATGTTCCTACAATATTAACACTCCATTAAACCTCCCAGTAGGCGGCGATAACCAATTCATTTATTTGTCAAATGATGACGTAGTTGTGTTCTTCTAATTGTAATCGAATCCTAATAACTTTTTAGGGAAACTAAAGAGTGATCCACAAAAAATGTTTCTTAAGTAGGCCATGACCGATAAAGAGAGACATATGTCATATCCGTAATAACTACGCACGGCTCTAAATTATAAAGAAGAATTGAATCATACGTACATTAATTTTTCCAAGGCCTACTTTTAGAAACATTTTTTGTAGACCACTCCTTATAAGTCAACTTTAAGAATAAAATAAAGCAGCATTACTCAAAGTGTGCTCCACGGAGCCCTGGGGCTCCGCAAAGCCTTTGCGGGGGCTCCGCGAAGAAAATAATAGTCATAAACATATCGCTATAAAAGGGAGGCCTTTTTTAAAGAAATGTGTTTAGGGCTCCGTCAAATATTTCGCTTTTCAAAAAGGTTCCGTCGCCAAAAATGTTTGAGAAACACTGTTATAAAGGATGTCCCATGAGCACTTTAAAATATATTTTCAAGAATGTATTAAGGCTAAGGCCATTTTAAAACTCATTTAAAATTATGGTGATAATCAAGATAACTCTAACTTTGCAAAACTATTTAGATTTAAAAGAACCCAATTTATCACACATCAGCATTCTGATCTTGTAAATAAGTTTTGAAGGCAGCTATATTTAAAATTAGTTAACTATTTATATTTTTTAATTGGTTATCATAATCCTTATAATGAAATACAACTATTTGGGAGTAGTTATAGATATGAAATTGGGATTCAAAGAACATTGTAATCATTTAGTAAGATTATTGTTTGCAAAATTAATTATCTTAGTAGATGCAGTAGATATATCGGTTAGTGGTAAAAAGTCACTACCATAGTCACTACTTATTTATAACACTTGTACACTTCCTCACTTTAATTAAAATGAAATGAATAGATTGAAAAAATACAAAATAGGAACAAAGAGTAAAAATTACAAGAAAGGACAGTCGGGGCGAAAAACTAAAATTAAGAGATAGAGCTACATTCCAATTTAAATTAATTCCATAGGTGGCGGCTGATTATTTAAATAGTAAGTTGTCATCAGGTGGTTCTAATACAGTTACACTTTCCTTGTCAACTAGGATTAATTGACTGAGCCTCTGTGATTTTATTTGTTTGTTGTTAGACTTATTTTTATTGATAAAATTGAAAAAAATTATGTTCTACTTTTATTTATTTTTACACCCTTTGGACCCCAGTGCGATCATTCTAATCCGTATGCAGCCTGCAGCTTATTGTACCACGAAGGTTCTAGTACTTTCTCATTGACAAATTCACTCACTCATTCACTGTAATTCATTCCACGTCGTATATGCATGGTTAAACGCTAGTCAACTAAGTCCCATGGTGATACGGCCCATGGTAGAACGTTCCAGCGATCACTCATCCACGACGTGACGGGAGATATAACTGCTTAACTGTTGCGAGAATATGGATGCACACTAACCTTTTACGACACGGCATATCCTGTAGTGTATACATTGATTTCAAATACTAGTAATACTTTTTCCAAATAAATTTACTGTGAATCATGTGGTACACAGTAATATTGTATTTTAAATTTCGTCCAGAAGACATCACATCATAATTAAGGTATGCGTTGTACTGTTTTGAATAATGTTACCATTTACACAACAGATTTTTTCATGTATGTGTATAACCTTCAATTTGTTAAGTGTAACTTAAGTTTACTGTTTATCTGGTTGCTATATGTTTTTGTCGATGGATTGTGATTTGAGCTAAGTAATGAATTATTAGGCATTCCAAACAAATGAATTTGGTATATCTAAGGGTTGCGATATACGATGTATTCTATCTACTATACGTAAAATCATGAACATTTAAACATTTTATGTCAAACAATAAAAATAATATTTAAAAAACTCGCCTATAAATTTCTTCATAAATTGGCAGGCTTGGCGACTATTTCAAATAAAAATAGCTTACAAGATGCAAGACTATGTCGCTACCCCCTTAGATATATAAGAACTTCCCAATGGCACCTATTGTTTGACAGGTCGTTAGAATGCCTATTTGGTATCTTGGAAAAGTCGTAAACTTTTGATAGTATGAAGGTTTACAACTATTACTAATTTTTGGCGAACTCCCGGTGATTAAACAATATTACCCGTATCATTTTTGCGACGTGAACCGCTCGAGGGGAAGTGTTATGACGTCATTCACCGACGTCATTGTTTGCTACCACCGTGATGAATCTGTTCCCGGTCCCCGGTCTCTTGAGGTGGTTAACAAACGGTTGATAGTGACATAGACATTTTGAGTTTTGTGATAGCGCTTTGATTTGGAATTTTTGGAAGCTGCGTTTTATTTTGTACGTTCATTTTTTATTTTAATTGAGCTGTCTCTAAATTCTATTTGAATTGGTATAACGTAGTGAACCTAAACGTTGACAGTTATCGTTAACATTTGACATGTCACGGTTTCTGTGTCACTGATTATCAAAGGGAGCACGACAAAAAATGCTTTACATACATTACAGTGTACCAGGACTGTCAGGCGCTATTGGAAAAAACCGTTAAATGAAAAGAATTTATCTAACATTCTTAATGGAAATGATTTTGAATTAGACATACTAGATATACAGTGAGCATCATAAGTCTTACCCCCCTAACTAACTCGTTACTGGAGTCTTGTTAGGAAAATCGCCAAGACACGTCGATTTTTGATTTCTACAATGTACATTTTTGTATGAATAGTTTACCCTTAATTTCATCCATTACTGGAGTGGAGCAACCCTTTCGAAAAAATTAAATGGCTTGGGGTGGTGAGTGATAGCTCATTTGAAAGGGGGTTTTATTCTCTATTCAACCGTGCAAAAAATTTTGAAATTTGCTTTATTACGTGTTGATTTATTAATGTTTAAAAATAACAAAACATCACAAATAGGAAAGCAACTAAACTAACAGTGACCTTATCTAATTACAAAAAGTCTTACTTCACGTCTGAACCAAAACCGATATCATGCAGGGCCGAATTTTAATTCTAAGGATGAGTACGCTACGTTAATTTCCGTTATTTTGAAACAATAATTAGTCGAGAATTAATGAAGCAAATTTCAAAATTTTTTGCACGGTTGAATAGAGAATAAAACCCCCTTTCAAATTAGCTATCAGTCACCACCCCATGCCATTTAAATTTTTCGAAAGGGTTGCTCCCCTCCAGTAAGGGATGAAATTAAGGGTAAACTATTCATACATACATGTATATTGTAGAAATCAAAAATCGACGTGTCTCGGCGATTTTCTTAACAAGACTCCAGTAACGAGTTAGATAGGGGGGGGGTAAGACTTATGATGCTCACTGTATAAGAGAATGTTTACTATGAAGATCCTGAAATCCAAAGTAGGAGTGAGTAAAGAGTATTTTTGGTTGTTTAGGAATAAATATGTAATATTATTTTTTATATATATATATATATATATATATATATATATATATATATATATATATATATATATATATTTACATCTTTCTATCAATCCCAAGCCAATTGGAGATTCTATCAAACCTGAACCACCCAAAAATAATAAAGTTGGATAAGTATATTTAATGTATATTGGAAACAGAGGGTCTCTTTATCTGTAATATGAAATGTATACTCTGAATATTTCATTAAAAAAATTTAATTTTTCTAAAGATTTTACTGGGTCAGTGCAATCCTGAACCATTAGAAGATTGATACAATCTTGAACCATTTTATACAGTTTTGTTCACACTAATCGTACAATTCTGAACCTTCGCTCAGTTGCCAAATGTAAATTAAGTATGAAATCTACGATTTAGTGATACAAGAATAATCATAAAATTTAACTGTTTATATAATTCTAAACTCTGAATTGAAATTTAAAATAATTTAAGTTGGATTATGTAAACACATTAAAATCACTCTTGTGACTAGGGCAGTTTGGGTCGAGATATTAAGAGCAAACTAGATATATGGATGTATTTTCTCATAAATAGGAAATCCGATAAAAAAAACTTTTTAAATAAAATACTTACAATCTACGATTTTTCCTTACCTTTGTAATTAAAAAAAATTAACAGGTGAGATAAAAAATTAATTTTTGACATTTTACAATAAACCAGATTTACAACGCTTTCCTATAAAAATCTTACCCCCTACCATCCCATAGAGGGAGAGTGGGGGTGACATTCCCAAAATATTAGGTTAAAACTTTTTAAATAAAACAGTTTGAATTCCAAAATTTGGTCAAAATGATAGGGGTAAATTTAAAAAAAAAAAAGTTGAAACTTTTGTCTTTTACAAATGTACCAAAAATAAGAGTTTTATCTCCTCTGTGATGATTTTTATAAATAATATCAAGTTGTTTGTTGCCGTTCATTCTGATAATCAAAATTTTATTTGGAATCATACCACATATGGCTGACAATTTAAAAACTTACAAAAACTTATATCTCATGAACTGGATGTAGGAAAAAAATTAAAATCTGGGAACTTGCAAGATGTCTTGGGGCTCATTTAGCTATTCCTATTGACCGGAAATAGATCTTAAGTCGCTTATTTTAAATACGGCATCCTATTATTACAAATTTGAATTTTACTTCAGATTCTGGGCAGGTTTTATGTATCATATCATATGCCTAAGTCAGAGCGATTTTACATATTTTAGTTTTTACATCAAAAATGATGTTGGTAAGCCCTCATATAATTATCAGTTAGTCCTATAAAGAAGTCCTTATATCTACTTCGGGTTTAATTCCTTGGGTTTAAGGTTTAAAATGAGATTAAGAAAACTGCCAAAAATCGATTTTTCAAATGGAACAACCCATTTTTCTTATTTTGTAGTATTTAGCATCTAAAATAAAGGTAACCTTGTATAAAGTCGTCTACAGGGTGGTCCGTTAATAATGAGATTCAGAGCTACTTTATAAAAGTATTGCGATATAACACAATTTACCTTAGTTCAATTTTTGATATTAAAGAATATACATAGTGTTAAAATAGATACATTTATATCAGTATTTTTGATTGAAATATTTGACACTTCATTTTATTAAGTATCTACTTTAACACCTTATATCTTCAATATCCAGAATTGAACAAAGGTAAATTTTTATATCGCAAGATTTTTATGCAAGGAATTTATAGATGTTCTGTGTCCCATTGTTAACGGACCATCTTGTAGAAAACCTTATTTTCCATACTTTATTTTCGATACTAAATACTATAAAATGAGAAAAATGTGAATTTCCATAAAAACATTTTTTTTGTAGTTTTCTCAATCTTATTTTAAACCTTATTTTTGAACAGCCTGCATGATTAGTTGTCTAAATATAAAAAAATCTATTAATGAGATTTTTTAACAAGGAATCCAACCCAAATTAACCAATAAGATCTCTGGTCCTCTCATTTCTTCTTAATCTACTTTGGACCACTTTAAGATATGGACAATATTTGGAAATAAAACAATATTATTTTTAAAATAGGTAAGATACGCAGCTTTTAGTTCTTACATGTCAAGTCCCCAAACACAAATACGTCGAAATTAACAGTCGAGTATTTACAAAAGTTCAAGCATATACAGTGTGTCCACTTAAGTTCGCAGCATATGGGAAACTTTTTTATTATTAACTTTATGAAAAAAGTTTTTCTTCACAAAAAGTTCTGCAACTATCAGATATATTTTTACAATAGTATACGAGATATATCAAATAATATGAATTTAGCTGTAAAATAAAGTACCTTTATTTTTGATAAATCACGTATACGACTGATAAAATTTGATATTTGATGGTTGCATTTTACGTTTTAGACCATGCTCGACTTTTTATGAAAAATAAATTTTTTCATAAAATTAGTAATAAAAAAGGTTTCTGCATATAGTAAGACGAGGATGGTCTCAAACCTAAAATACTACCATCAGATATCAAATTTTATCAGTCGTATACGAGGTTTGTCAAAAATAAAGATATTTTACTCTTCAGCAAAATTACGTATTTGACATATCTCGTATACTACTGTAAAAATTTAATATATCATAGTTGCATTTTAGGTTTCAGACCATTTCGACCTTTTTATGAAAAATAACTAAATGAAAATATTTTTTCCTTCGACCACTTAGGAAAGTGACACATATTACACTATATAGTCCTATGGAAAGTGCCCTATATCACACGCGTATGAATAAGAATTTACTTTCCACCCGTGTACGAATATGCTACTTTCCGCAGCAGCTATCACAAAATGTCAAACACATCATTTCTATTTTGATCTATGTAATGTCCATATTAATACTAAAATCGATATTATGATTAAATTATTAAAATTGACGATTAACTTAGATCCTAGATATTTATTTTTAACAATTATTAAAATAATTTTAAAATAACTACATATATCTCATTATTTTAGCTTTTTATTCTGTTTAAACTTAAAATCGAATTAAAAATGCATTTGACATAAGACCTATTAGCTCAGGTTTTAGGGTAGTTTTGGTGGTTGTAGAATTTTTTTTTGTTTTTTAATTTTTGTTTCGAAAAAATATGAAAATTGCATAAATACAATTATTGTTGATTATTTTTTAAATACATTTTAATTATTATAATAATAACCTGGTTCTACATTTTTTGCTGAAATTATTTTGTGGTCGTAGGAAAAATATTGTACATCACTTGTGTGAAAAGTAATTTTCCACACTGGTGTGATAGTCGCACTCGGCTTGTGCCTCGTGTGACAATATTTTCCACTCGTGTGAAAAATGTCACTTTCCACACACGTAATGTAGTATACTATACTTGTTTCTTTCGACTTACTTCTGTTTTGAATGATTCCTACAAAACGGAAAGCACATAAAATGTTTGTAAACACGCAATGTTGCCACATTCACTGGCTCAGGATGATACGGAATTACTTTCAATACGTATATATAATTATATACCGCAAATACCTACCTAAGCGCCGCAAACGTCAAATTGTTGAACTACATATTGGAGTTTCGTATATTCCTGAACCAATAAAAAAGGGGGAATATCCGGCAATGTGTTGGGCGCGAAGATTTGAAAACATAATTTACAGATTCCTTTATTATGGAACTATTACAATCAAGTTTCACTTTAAGCATAGAGTTGGTATTAAATAATTTAACACAGCAAAACAAACTTGAACCAATATACTGGTTCAGGTTTGTGATGGTGGTTCAAGTTTGTTAACCCAAGTTACTACTTCTGGTTCAGGTTTGGATGGTTACCGTAAATATATATATATATATATATATATATATATATATATATATATATATGATAATGAAGCATTGGCAGCTGATACTTCTGAAGAACCAGAAGTGCCGCTTATTGAACTGGCTTCTGAATACATGGTATCTAAAATATATCGAGGAGATATTGCAAATAGTAACTTGCAATGTGACATAAAAAGAAAAGATCTGTTGGATAAAAGGAATTCATGAAATATTATGTAATATACAAATAATTATTTAGTTACCAAGTGATTACAGATAGAACACAATTCCAAAAGCAACAGCTGATCAAACTAGACACTCAAGGCGACTCAAATCGTTCTGCCTGGAGTAGCGCTGACGACGGTCCGCTACTACCGCATCAGTTTCTCGCACTCTCCGCTCTTGACTGCCGATGTTCTTTACCGTACTACAATTAACAAAAATAATAAAAATTGATTTTTTAAACTTTATATTGGTTTAGGTAGTTTTATTTTACTTTGCAACCCCGGGGCATTCCTAAAAAAAAGTCCTCAAGCAAAATCAAATCCTTTCTTAGTGAAAAAAGCTCCTCAAACCAGGTCCTCCCTTTTTGACGAACTTCCTCATAGTACTCCTTTAGTAATTTTTTTATTATGACTATTATTTTCGGGGAGCCCACACAGGCTTTGCGGAGCCCCAGGGCTCCGCGGAGCATACTTTGAGAAACACTGCTCTAATGAGTCAATTAGAGTTTAGACCTAGTCGGAGCATAAAGGATGTACTTTATAGGGGGTCGTTTTTCTATTTTAAGGAATATATCTGTTAGTTATTCTTAGAGAAAAATTCTTTAAATCAAATTTGTATCATTCTTATAATTTTTATCGTATACATGATTTCCTTAAAAGGGGCCGTATTCGAGAAATTTGAGCTAAAGTGTAAAATTCGAATTTTTCTGGTTATTTGCACCTAAGTGCCTAAATTATTTCCGAAACATTTTTTGAACGAAAATTATCCCGATATCATTCTCTATAATTTTTGTTCTATATATACTATTCCTCTAAAATGGTCCGTAATGAAAAAATTTGAGGAAAAATGTAAAATTTTCGGTATATTCTTTGGCAATGAATTTACTCTTGGGCAAAATTTTTATTTTTTGATGCACCTCATATACGGCTCAAAAAAATTCACAATAAAATTTATCTTATTTTCAAGGTCTGCTTTGTATTATCAGATTATTTTCCTTGTTATGATGAACAGTATTTAGCGGTTTTTCTTAGATTTTGAAATACCATACCATTATATCAACCCAGTCAATTTTATTAGTAGATATGAATTTTTCCAGTTTTTTCTTAGCTCTTGTCAGTGCTCTTGCTTCATTATATTTGTCTCTTTTAAGCTTTGCATTCACAACTATATGCCTTCTTAAGATTCCATCTAAAGTTGCACATTTTCTACAAATAACTCCATGTTGAATATAAACTGGACATAAAGTGTGTCTCCATTTATAAGAAATATTGTCTTTATAGCTGGATCGAACATTATTAACAGAACTGTACATTTTTAGAGACGGTCCTCCTACACAAATATTCAAGTTGTGAACAATTTGGAGTAATTGTTCTACTTGGTTAATTGATTCAACAATTTGTGGAATATCTTGTAATGTCATACGTTTATTTAAAAAGTAAACTTCCATTCGACCATCTTCATGGACTAAGATCTACAAAGGTTTAAAAAAAAAAAAGATAAAATTTTCGAATTTCTTTGAAAATATGTACAGCCAAGTAAAACAAGTCTTCATTATACTTACTTTTTTTCTTATTTCAGGAGCATTGCCAACTTCACTACTCTCTGTTATTAACTGTGAGAACATAATGTACTTATTAGGTATATTTTTATGAACACCCCATGACAAATCTGGAAACAATAAATTAGTATTTTTTTGGCATAATTTTTCAAAGATGGTTTCATTAGTAATGCCTCCATTATTGCTATGATCAAATGTTTCATCACCTGCAATTAAAAATTACTAAGGAAAATCAAATACATGAGTCTCAAATGAATATTTAAAATTATACATAATATACAGTATTGGCTATCGAACACGTTCCAATATAATTTGCATGTAAAAAGTCCAGAGAGTTAGCATAAGGGCTAACAGGAAACGAATAATATCAGCAATGCCAGTTTATACGACCCGGCCAACATTACAACTTGTGCAAAGCGTATTGGAAAACGTTCAGTAGCCGACACTGTATGTAAATTGTTTTTTTATTTCTGTAACTTATTTTTTATTAACAGGTATTAGGTAGAGTAGATATAAAAAATATAATTCTGAGTTAAACAATATTGGGGAGATTTCCTCTCTCTCTATCTTTTTCAAGAGGTAAATGAGTATACGCCATACATGACATATGCTGTACTGAAATCTTATCTTGACAAGGGATATTATCTTTGAGTTGATGTACCTGAACCTTTTTAGACTTGTTAGTTGTTTTAGACAAATTCAACAATGAACAACTACTAGACTAATTTTGTTTACAAAAATCGTTTTGCACACATTCAGGGTATTATCCTCATAGTTGTCAAATTATTATGAGAGAGTACAAGGATATTTTGTGGTTCTAATTCGGTATTGACTAAACATAGGCTCTAAAAAGCGCAAAAGGCTTTCAAAATTACATTAGGGGGGAAGAATATTTGCATTCCTAATGCCAGTTATTATCGGTTTAATGTATAGTATTTTTCAGAAAAGTACACAATTAATTTTGAAGTGTTACAGCAATGTAAAGCAAGCGTAGAAGACATAAATGATGACTTATTCATAAAGTGCATGCTCACTCCTCAGAAAAACATAATCTCACAAAACATCCCCACTCAAATTAGCATCTGTCTCCTTCTTTCTAATGCAGCAGCCAATGCGACAGCTTTGTTTGCATAATAATAAACACAATGATTGCAGTAAATAAGGACTTGATTATGAATGAATGGATTAGTCTAGTAGGTTTTCATCATTGGCTATATTATACCTAAGTACAGATATTATGTGAAATACAAATTTATTATAATTACCTACCATAAGGTATGGAAAATTCGCTAACCAAGCCAGCAATACATTCTTTATTGTCATTGTCATCAAAGTATTCCAAATTGTTGCCAGTATACTCCATATTTTCATTTTTTAAATCTTCTATTGTATTATACATAATATTCCCTGATGTCCACTGATAAGTAGTCTCATCATAAATAACGAAAATAGGAATGGCATCTTTTTTTAACATCTTGTTTTTGTAGGTCCTCTGCAAGTATTAATGTCATTAATTCCCTATTATCCTTCGCATCTCCATTGACCCTTATCACACCCTGTAGTTTACAATTTCTTGCCTGAATGGTACAAGTTTTTATAGCTGAGTTACAAAAACCAGCTCTTATCAGCAATCCATTGAATATTGCATTCACAATTTTGAACCCGAACGATAAAATACTTGTTTTTGACTGAAATTAAAACATTAAAAGAATATTATAAAAGATGGGAAAAAGACAAATCTTATGGAAAATTAAAAAAGCAATTCGAGAATAATCGAAAAAAAAAAATTCGAATCAAGAATTTCATCAGAATCGAGCCGTGATGGCGAATCAAACAGTAAGTACATATTGTTAGTTTCACTGTTGTCGATTTAATTGATGTATTAACATTACAAAGCAGTGAATGCAGTAATTTTGATTATCAATAAAAAAAAAACCTTATATTAGCAGACACTGATGTGAGTTATATGTAAAAATTAAAACATTTGCAATGTTTTAAATTTAAAAAAAAATGTACAGGATGAAACAATTAATTTAAAAATTTATAAATAATTTTATTTATTATTGTATTAATTAATTTAGTTATACATAAAAAAAATATACATTGGACTCATTGCATATTTCAGGCATTTCAATTGTTGAAGCTGAAGTGTATCGTTCAGCTGATGATATAGATGTAGTGCCTGTACAAATTTCTCAAGTTGATATTGAGCTCACTAATTTACTTGGCAAAAAACCTGATGGAGAAAGCGCGTCATGCCTTGATTTACATGATGAAATTGTTTGTAGATGGAATAGTTATTTAAAGAAAGGAGTAAGTAGTGAGGAAAAAACAAGAAACATAGATAAATATGTCATCGCAGCTAACTGCCCAGCATTGAAGTTTTCAGTATAAAATCCTGAAATAGAAACTGCAGTGGACAGTAGTGTTCTAAGGAAGGATCAATTCTTAAGCCTTCTCCAAAAACAACTAGCTGCCGCATTTAGATCAACCACTTACTAAAACACTCTCAAAAGAGAACGTAGAAAATTACATAACACCTTTAGGGGATGCTGCCAAAGCAATAGCGGACACCATCCATTCATTGTCTCTGCACAGAAGATATTTACTTCTGCCAACCCCAATCACAGAACATAGGAAGTTAATACAGGAGGCACTCATATCAGATATGCTCTTTGGGAATAATTTGCAGGTCAGATTAAAATCTGCACAAATTGTTAAAATTGGATAGCTAATTAGCTGATAAGAGCTTGTTTTTGTGACTCAGCTATAAAAACTTGTACCATTCAGGCAGGAAAATCTAAACTACAGGATGTGATGAGGGGCGACCGAGAAGCTCGGATAATTTCGATCGATCTTCCTTACAGGTAAGTCGATTGATCAATCAATTATACCTTTAAGGCATGCTATAAAATAAATGTATAATCCTATTTAAATATCGAACATGAAAAATACTTACATGGAAAATAACCTTTCCTGTAGGATCTGTAATTACTTTTTCACTAATAATATCACTCGAATAGAAATGTTTTTCACAAATGTAACTTCTAGGATGTATTTTTGTGTAGGTCCCATCAAATATTTTTTGCCATTTTAAAAATCTATCGCCGCTCCTATCGCTGCATTTAAAGAAACTTTTATTATTTCCTCTTGAATGTCCTCTCAGCCCTCGCCTTAGCCCTGAAGAATCACATTTATAAACAGCACAACTATTAACCATTTTTTTTTAATAGCAAACTAAAACAAAAATAGAAAACTACTACAGAACCAAAACAAACCAAAATTCCCACTTCTCATTTGTCATAATTTCAAACTGTCACCTTAAGCAGTGTTGCCGCACCGACATCTGTCATTATCGCTATTTTTGTTCGCCTAATGCCGCGTTTGAGAATCCACATCGGTTGCATTTTTTACATCTCGAGCGTTTTTTTATCCACATCGGACACATCTGTCCCATTACATTTACGTATACTGAATCACGTGATCAAAGATTTTTTACATCTCAGATGCATCCGATGTGGATTCTCAAACGCGGCATAAAGTCGCTATTTTTGCCGCGTTTGAGAATCCACATCCGATGCATCTGAGATGTAAAAAATCGTTGATCACGTGATTCAGTATACGTAAATGTAATGGGATAGATGTGTCCGATGTGGATAAAAAAACGCTCGAAATGTAAAAAATGCATCCGATGTGGATTCTCAAACGCAGCATTTGTCGCTACATCATGAATGAATGAAATATGCAATCGAACATACACTAACGTGTTGTATGGCCTAACAAAACTAAAAATATTTTTTTTAATGATCCAAGGGCCGATTCGACCATTGTGTTAAACTAAGTTTAAATTACTAAACGAATATTAAAATGACATTGTTAATGTAAAAATGCCATTTTAATCTTAGTTTATTAATTTAAACTAGTTTAACACAACAATAAATAAAAAAAATTATTTAGCCAGAGTCTGAATCTAATTTGTGAACGATTCAATAGTTTTGCATAAACTGCTATGAATTATTCTTCATTTTGTTTAAATATGTGTAAAATTGTAAAACGTTTTTTTTAATAAATGACCAATTTAATTCTAATTAGAAAATTTAGTTTTTTTTTTTTTTTTTTAACCGATGGCTTTGAAAATGGCGATTAGCAGGTCGTTGCAATCACATATATCACAGCTTCGATTGAAATCATTTGAAGGAAAGCCCACTCATGCGACACGTCGCGCGCGACTGATCGCGAGGCATCGCGCGAGGCAATACTTTATAGATATTCTTAAATGATTCAAAGCCCATTAACGCGGTTCTGTCGCGTGATCACACGCGGCTGAAAATTATAAATGATAAGCCCGCGATTTTCCTGCCGCACGCGGCCAGCGTTATCATGGATTCATATATCGAGCATCATTCATACAAACGTCAAGTCGCGTGCGAAACGCCAGTTGAGAGTTACAGCCGTATGCATAGTCGATCGCCAGCGACTCGCCAGAGATTCATTCCGGCGTATCGCCAGCGATTCGCTGGCGATCCGCCGGCGGAAGCCCAAAAAGTCATTTCACGCAAGTTTTCATGTTCTTTTATAGGGAAAAATTTGATATTCGTTTATTATTTTTTGAGTTTTAAGAAATGAATCATGAATAAAATGTGAGAGATACCGGTGATAATCCCTATAAAAGAAAATAAAAACTTGCGTGAAATGACATTCCGGTGACAATCTCCGGCGAGTCGCCAGATTTTTGGGCTTTCGCCGGCGGATCGCCAGCGAATCGCTGGCGATACGCCGAAATGAATCTCTGGCGAGTCGCTGGCGATCGACTATGCATACGGCTGTTAGAGTTTCCTGTTAACTTTTCGACAGTTCCAGTGAAAAAATGTCCGACAGTTGTATTGATATAGATGAATTTATAGCCGATATTCAAGACCGATCTCAAATATCGAACAGTTAATTGAAATAAAATAGCGAAAAAAATATTTGTTCGGAAATCTGCGCTCGCAGTTCGTCAAATGACACTAATCTTATTCTGAAATATTTGAAGAACTTATCTACGTGTTGACGTAAATCCTTATGTAATAGATTAAATTCGCCTTTTACATAAGGGTCTATAAATAATGGATGAACCCAGTACCTACGTCGTTTCAATTTTTTCCGCCGACGAACAGAATAAAACACATACGTTTGTGTCGCTGCTTGTCGTCTGTTAAAAATCGCATGCGGTAGGTCGCGCGCGACATGTCGCATGAGTGGGCATTCCCTCTAAATAACTAATAGCGTTTTGTTATTTTATTAGGATCGATTCCACCGTTGTGTTAAACGAAGTTTAAAATGACATTTTTACACTAACAATGTCATTTTAATCTCCGTTTAACACAACGGTGGAATCGGACCTTACACTGATACTTAACGTGTTAAGGATGAAAAAGTCGCTATTTTTGGCTAATTTAGACTAAATCGTCGCTACTCTCATACACCACTAAAATGTCGCTATTTTCGCGACAAGTTGCTACGAACGGCAACACTGACCGCAAGTTGAAAAGTCTTTTGGTAGGTAGAGAGGGGGTAAACGTCAAACCACGTCGGGCGGCTCCGAGATTTCCGAGAATTTCACAGTAATGTTTACCACAGACCATACCCTTTAAAGATGGGCCACTCAACAGTGAAAAATTTTACTCATCTTTCAGCGCCATCCGTAGCGGTTGCAAATAGTTGAGTTAAAAAAAAAGAAGATAACTAATAATTGAAAATTTGTTCAAGATTTATTATATAGATGGCGGTAGGGGTCAATGAACGCGGGTTTTTCAAACTCGGCCTTTCTAATAAACCACTACTAAATTTTCAAAATTATAATTTTTCGTTCTTTTTTACTTAAAATGATTCAAACATTTTATTCTTCACTCAACATACTTAGATGGATATAATCCATTGGGTTATGTTCTGTGATAGATAAAATTTGAAATATTTTAAGTTAAAAAGAAAACGAAAAATTATAATTTTGGATTTATGGAACAAAAAATACATCTTATTATGAAGTAAAACACGATTATAACCATATATTTTTTATTATTAGAATTAAAATTGCACGAATTCTTATTACAGTACACAATAATAAAGAAATATGAATATAAAACTATTGCGAAGTTCACCCATGGTTGTATCCAGTAGAAGTTGTAACGAAAGTTCCTGGGGAAAGTTGGCTCTGGCTGCTGTTGGGTGTACTTGTCACTTCCTATTGCAGTGTTTGCTGATTCGTTTTCATGTAAAAAATGAAGAAGAGTATCAGTTAAAAAATATAAAGTTCAATTTTATTATTTTTGTTTTGAGTCAATTCAGCTGAGCTATTAATTTATTAGCTAGTGAGAATGAATCGGCATTTCTTAAAAATATATCATAGAAGATTTTTCAATAAAATGAAGGAATTTGAATTTAGTAAGAATGCAACTTTTATTAATTGGAATCAATAAATTGTGAAGATACCTAGGTGAGGTAGGTCACAGTATATGGAGCAAAAAATAATAAGAGTCGCACAATATAAAATATACAATTATTGGTATGTTTGAAAAGTAGCTCATTTTGAATTCGGAAAAAAAATTGTATATAGGTATCTACTATAAAGTATCCATTACATATTGTATAATTCTAAAAAAATACTAATAACACTATTTATTTCAATCTTCTTAATATTCACATATTTTATCTAGTTACTGAAATTGTATAGAAAATGATAAAAGTTAGGTTAAGATTTTTAATTTTTCCTAGAAAACATTAGGTTACCCGCATTATTTTGGAAATTTATTTCACAAATTGGGTAATTTTAAGTAATAATATATGCTCTTAAAATTTGGCAAAGTATTTAAGAATAAAATACAAAAAGAAGTTTTTACTTGTAAAGAAATAAAATTGTAAATGTATTCCTTACCTGCGACTAACTTTATCCTGACAATCTGGATCAGCACAAGGACGAATTCGCACCATAATTATATATGTTTAAAGCTTTAAAAATTATCTTAGAAAAACTAACCTAATAAAACAAATCAACCATTACCATTAATAGCGTTTTTTTAGCTGTTGAAAGTTTTAAATAACAACTTGCGTACACTTGCGTTACTCTGAACCTGCTCTGAATACACTCTGAATCTGCTCGACGAATGCAATGAGCAAACTTTGTGTAAGTAGCGCCATCTATGGGTGGTGCACAGTACTACAACACGAGTAAGCATTTCCCTATTAAAGATCCCCTAGCCTGATGTTTACGTGCCAGTAAGTAATTGTTCTGTGGTGCCAGTGTCGTTTCAAAGAATAAGGGGTCTATTCTGTAACAATTCCTTTATATTTAACGGCCTTTAATAATATTGGCGGCCTATAAAAATATGTTCGTATTCGTTAATTTACTTCTGTCATTATTTAAACAGATTTCTCTAAGATGTCCTCTAATGTATTTTAAAGATCCGTTTAAATAATGACAGAAGTAAAGAAGAAAATATTTTTAAAGGCCGTTAAATATAAAGGAACTGTTACAGAATAGACCCCTAAGTAATTTTAAATTGTTATCGGCGGAACCCTTAACCGGACAATCGCATGTATTTATGGATTATAAATAATTATTAAACATGTATTATAATATTCAAATTATAATTTTACAAAATTTCAACAGCTATTCACAATTTATTAAACTATTTACTCGAAATTGTTATTAACATCTATAAAATAATTTTGTACGCCAATGTATCGCGTCCACTTCGGTGAGATCCGCTGCCAACCTGTCAATTTATGTGTATAAAGTGGGAGAACTGGCAAAAGCATTTCCAACTTTTACTTCTATTCTAACATTCGATCATGTATTATCGAATGTTCTAACGCAGGTTTGCCAGATCCTTAAGTTCGAATTCCCCCTCCGAGCAATTACTGCCTACTGGAGAATAATTTCCCACAGTCAACTTTTTGTTTGGTAGCGAATTTTTTAAGCTATTGCATAGCTTTTATCGCGAAATTCCGTAACGACCGTAACGAAAATAAACCTAACACCCCCCACTCCGACCGGCACAGCGGTGCGGCGTTGAATGCCGTGGAAGGTTTTATCCGAATCCGACCCTATTCGTATTCGTATTAGTACGAAGCGGAGTTAAATATACGTCTGCGGACTGGAACGTTTATGCAATACAAGAACTAGAAGAGCTTTCTCTGGCTTCTAAAAAATTGGTATCACAAATGTTCCCGGCTGGCGTAAATATTAGATATTAATTTTTTTTGCAAGATTTATAAAATATTAATTTTAAGCTATTGCATAGCTTTTATCGCGGGCTTTGAGCGCGGCGACCGAATCAAGAAATTCCGTAACGAAAATAAACCTAACACCCCCACTCCGACCGGAACAGCGGTGCGGCG